TTTTTTTTTTTTTTTTTTTTTTTGAGTTTTGATTTTCAGGAACAAGTCCAGTGTCCTCCGCACATACGCTGACTAGCGGTAAAGAGTATCATTCTAACCACAGTTCGCAAAAAGTTAACATAGAACGGTCTGGTTTTTGTCGAAAGCGTTATTCTCAAGGGCAAGAATCAAGTAATTCTGAGAAGCCGAAAGAAAACTCATGTTAGTCCAGACCAGATTTTTTGATATTAGCGTTATCTCCTTCTAGTCTCCTGTTTTCTCAACGTTTTTGAACAAGGTCCTGAGTATTTGTTTGGTATTTTTAATCGGATAAAATTGCCACATTGTTTTTTAGGGCCGCAGCCGTGTTGCGCCTCTCCTGTGAAGGCGAAGCCAGTATCTGGTTGGCAAGCGACTAAGAACTCTCTTAAGGAACGTGTCTCGTTTATGTGTTGCAATGATTTAATCGCAGACGTTTATTTTTCAGTAGGCCGTGGGGATTCTCGAAAGGTGTGGCCAAGCTTTGTTTTATTTTTTTTTGAAGAAACTTATTGTTGAAGTTTTCTTCAGAGGTTCCCAGCTCATAAATTTGTTCTTATAACTGGTTCAACAGTGTTTGATGCTATGTTTAATGGGGAAGTGACGAAGGTAACTAGAGGTAAGCGGTTTATCTATGCTTATAATTTGTCACAAATTCTTTTTAGGGCTTGTGAGATCTTCTGACATCAGTTGTGATTTTTTATTCCTGTTATAACTTAGGTACGAAAACCAATGAATTTGGTAAGGAGGAAATCGAATTACCCGACGTAGAACCATCAGCCTTTATTGCCTTGTTGAGATTTCTTTACGCCGACGACGTCTTTATTGGTCCAGACAATGTTATGAATACTCTTTATACTGGTAGTTCGAATTGCACATTTTTGATAAATGGACGTTATTTCTTCTCTCGAAAGTAGAAGATTTTTTACCATTGATGTAAATCCATATTGGTTTTTATTCTTTAGAGTTTTATTTGTAAATTTTCTAGCTAAAAAGTATAATGTACCAGCTTTGGAAAAGGCGTGCGTTGACTTCTTGAAGCGGAATTTGTCTTCTGAAAATGCTTTTATGTTGTTAACCCAAGCTCTTCTTTTTGAAGAAAAGAATCTTGGCGAAATGTGTTTGGAAATGATTGACAGGAATACTCTTGAGGCATTAAGTGCTGAAGGTGCCTTTTTAACAGTTTTTGGTGTCTTTTACAGGTTTTTTTCATTTGTTTTTGAAAAGTATTTCCAAAGAACTTTTTTTAATTTATTTATTTGACTTTGAAAGGTCATATTACGTTGTTTATAGGTTTTCTGGGAATCGATCTTGATACGCTTTGTATGGTGCTTACTCGGGAGACCTTAAGGATTCGTGAAGTTCAGCTTTATCTTGCTGTGATTCGATGGAGTGCGGAACAGTGTAACAGGAAAGGTCTTTCGGTAACTTCGGAAAACCAAAGACAGATTTTAGGGAAAGCTTTGTATTTGATACGGTTTCCATTGATGACCGTTGATGAATTTGCTCAACATGTAGGTAAGTTTGGACCATTTCCTTTACAGAAACATAAACTGATTAATTAGGTGCAGTCTCATTTTCCGATTTACATGTTTTTGATTTTATTTTTGTAAAAGTGGTGTGTAAAAGTAGGGAAGGTGCGTTTTCTACATGTTGCGCAAACAGATCTTATTAATTATAGGAACTGTGAAATAAGTGAAAGGATTTATTTTGTATTACCGTGAAGAACTTTAAATCCAAATTTTGTTTAGAATGTTTTCTTATTATCTGTTCTTCATTGCTAACAGGAGGGAGCTTTTTACTCGGCTCTGTAGATAAGAAGAGAACACAGAATTGCTTTATTGTGAACCAGAAATGTTGAATGCTTGCCTTATTTACTTTTTACTAATAATTTGTAATTGTGTGTGAGTTTTATTACTAGAAAAGTCTAAGATTGGAACTGTTAAGAACTAAGCATATGGTCGTTCAGTAGACTTCCATTCACTCAACATGAAGCAGACACCCACTTTTTAAGCGATGCTAAGAAACCTTGATTGATTAGAACTGCTTTAAATTTCTTTATCAAATCTTACTGTCACTGTTCGTCACCTTTTATGGTTTTAGCTCTTTCTGGTATACTCACTGACCGTGAAGTAGTTAACATTTTCGTCTATTTTTCCGTTAATCCTAAACCGGAAATTGTTTTTCCCACTACTCCACGATGTTGTGTTTTCGGCAAAGAAGTTGTTGTGAGTCGTTTTCAACGTGTTGAAGCGCGTTGGGGCTATAGTGGAACACCAGATAGGATAAAGTAGGGTTTCTGTAGTAAAAAATGTTACAGCTTATCAGTTATCGTCTGACTTTAACATTTCATCTTTAAACATTTCTTTGCAAGTAATTCTAATTGCAGATTCACTGTAGACAAACGAATATTTGTGTTAGGATTCGGGTTGCATGGATCCATTCATGGACCTCATGAGTACTCAGTCACTATACAGGTTAGTTGTGTTCATTTTAATTAGCAGTTTGTTTGGTATTCCACTTGCGGACAAAATAAGATAGAGCGAAACTAAATTGAGTTGTTTAGTTTTTGCAAGTTGTTGCAGATCTCATCAGTTTTTTTGCATGATATTCATAATAACAAAACGCTTTGCATATCTGCATAAAGTTAATTTTGTTCAGAACAAATTGTTCTCTATTTGTGCTAGATCCAAGTCGTATCAAAGACATCTTGTTGCGGTGACTCATAATATCAGCGGCTTTCAAGAGATTCCGCTTTATTTCAGCAGTCATCTCTTTGTTTTGTTTACTGAAAAGTGCAGTTCGCACATTTCTTAGCATGAATTTAAGAACCAGGCAAATGAAATTAATGCCGACTTTATATTACTACTCATCAAGTAATTTCTACACGCTTCTCCTTTAATTAGGCAATCTTATTAGCTAACACATTATTAAATCTAGCTCTTTTTTGGAATTTTGGCTGATGACTCCATTTTTACCATGGAGTAAATGACCATAAGTGGCGTAAATTAGGAAGATCGTCTTCAAGCTATGTTTCGCTCTCCAAACGCTTATCGCTTCTGTAATTCTTTAAGCCACAATTTCATTTACTTCTTTTTTAATCAGTTTCTGTATTGCTTCTTTTGGCGAACTTTATATGCCTCGGAATTGAGTCCTTCTCTGGCGAAAAGCAGTCGTTGTCTGCTTTATTGCATAGAATTTCACAAAATCTCATATTTTGTTTTGGCTTTAACTTTGCTTGTTTTTTCTAAGGTGATCAAAATTGAGGCAAAATGATTTGAACCTTTTCAAAGAATTTAGCTAAAGCTTGGTTGTTTTATTAAATGGCTGCGGCGTTTCAAGTTCTTGTTCAGAACTTGCCGTTGTTCGCGTATGAGCTTATAGTGGGAAATAACGGCTGTTTTTAAAAAGTTTAGTCACAGAATTTTGAAATGTCAAAGTTTATGAAGGGGGTACAAAGTTGTTTAGATTATTCACTGTGGTACGGGCAAAGTTTTGGCCAATAATGATACGTTTTTCACTTGCGACGGGTCGAATTCTACTTTCCGGGTTATGTTTAAAGAACCAGTTGAAATAATACCTGGCGTAACTTATATAGCATCTGCTCGTTTGAAGGTATTTAGCTAAACTTATTTATTTTTTATTATTTTTTGTATTTAAAGGAGTATAATGAAAGGAATAAAAAGAAGTTGTTGCCGTATTGGTATAACCAAGCTTTACAAGTCTGTCGGTTTGTGTTTAGGGTCCTGATTCACATTACGGAACGAAGGGCCTTCGACGTATTGTTCACCAGTCTCCATCCAGTGGTGTTGTTACTTTTCAATTCACTTATGCTGCGGGAAATAATAACGGGACGTCCGTTGAAGACGGGCAAATTCCTGAAATTATTTTTTGTACAAAAGTCAATTAAATTTGTTCAGCTTATAGGTTTTACATTTTTAAAAAATTTCGCTGAGGATTTGACTG